TCTTATGTTGCGTCACTTCGTGCTTATGTAGCAACATAAATGAAAACATATTCAAATACATTGAGCTATTAACGACAATTGAAATAGGATGCTTCACATGTTCTCAAAAAAATTGCAATTAAGAATACTTTGTGTTACTGTGTGCTATCGTATAAAGCTATGTCCTATTATCCAAAATTATTTACAGCTGCTTACTAATACAAACCATTCAGAATAAGTAGTTGATAACAATTTATACACACTGTAATATTTGTAGAGATTTTTTTTATTTTTCCTCCAACATTCTTCAAACCCTCCTACAATGTACCTAACCTCTGTGATTTATTTTAACCAGAAAACTTAAATTTATATTAAGTTTATATATCGTCTTTAACACTTAAAACTTAAACTCTTAAATCTTTTAAGATATACTAATAAAAAAGTGTTGGAACTTGCATTTTAAACAATGAAAAATTAAAATGATACAAATTAAATGAATCAGGTGACTACACTATTGTTTATGTTCTCATCATCGTAATTTTTGCATTAACTGTCACCAAGTTTAATAAAGAATTACAACATGATACTCCAAGCAAAGAGCATATGAATTAATATGATTTATTGGTTAAATCTCTCAATGTATATACAAGTAATTTACTTATAGGAAACGAGTACACTCTTATTGATAAAAACTTATCTTGGACTGATGCAATCGAATTCTGCAAAAAGAATGGGACCCAATTAGCGGATCTCGCTGAGGCCGTGGCCTCGTCATCTACATATGAATGTCTTGAAAGGTTTGATAAGATATGGACAGAGAAGTTTGCTTCTGCTACTCCTTATTCATCGATGCTAGGTAAGACGTTATTAATATACGGATAAATGTTTACCCATTTTGACATTTAAGAGAATTTCTTCAGCTATGGATTAGATCTGTTGCGGTAATCTGGTGGTAGGGTGCTCGCTTTGTGATCGGGAAGTTCCGGGTTCGATTTTCGTTCCCGGCGCCGCGTCAAACCTATTACTTTTTACATGGATAGCAACTGTTCCTTCGCCCACTTGAAGTAAAAGTCACGGGGCCTTAAAAACTCATTTGACAGTAAGCCTTAAGATCCCTCACTGCTACTTCCGTAAGCGCCAAGCATAGATTAAAATTTGTGACACTTCACCTTCAGCAGATAACGCCTCTATATAAAGTTGGAAATGGGACGTTAAACAACATACAATTGATGAATCAGGACTGTATTGAATTGAATTGTATTGAAAATTTTTATTGAATTGTATTCTATTGAATTAAAAAGGAAATATAAGAAACAATCGTTGATTCAATGAGCCAATGCTTGAGGAGGTATACCACACCAAACTTTCATGTAATAGATGTTTAAATATCTCTTGTGAAATATTACTGCATCATCTAAAGACCAATCAATATAAGCGCTTTTAATTATTTTTTTTTTCTTTTTGTTTTCTTTTTTGTATTTTTTTTTCCCAGAGAAAATGGAAAAAATTAATTTTGATGCAAATAAAACACTTCAGAGCTCTAATTTTATTGATACTAACGTAATTTGTTGATATTTTTTTAAATCTATGGATGAAATGTGAAGATAACGAATAATAATCCTGCTGAAAGTCAAGTTAAACAATAAGAGTTGTGAGTAGAAGCAAACAAGGACCTCAGAAAACAGAAGAGGTATAAAATATCCAATGCCAGAAATATTTATATAGAGAAAAGAAAATTTAGGCTATCATAGTTTATTAGAAATTCAAATGCAATTGCCAAATGTAAGAAAAATGGCTAATTTTCCAATTTTACCATTCCCAATTGAAATAAAACCGATCCAGATACAAATGAATTCAAAATAAAGAATTAACTCATTAGGCCATCTTAAAATAATTGTTTGGTTGCCGTCTCCCGACCGACTGGCTAAAAATGTCCCGAGTCAAAACTTTTTTCACCTCCAGGAAACAATTTTTTTATGCATTCAGGAATATAAATTTTGCAACATTTAAGTTGAAATTTTCTGGGAAAAAGAAATTTTCCACCTACCTACCGACCTAATTTGTTAACCCTGAGTCGGGAGAGGGCAAACAAACATCATTTTAAAGTTGGTCTTACTGTCAATTTAATACAGTTAACTTACATTAAAATTTCTACTTGTATGATCCCGGTCGGGATCCATTAATTTAGATCGGGATAGGCTCAAATCTAGTATTATTATTTTTTCTTAGTGTTGCAATTTTGTTTTTATTTCTTTTTTTAAACGTGATTGTATGATAAATGTTTCTTGAAGGTGTTATCCACATACACTGTATTAAAAGATATTCACAAATTATGATTTTTATATTCATAAATATTATTCATCAAAATACTTAAAATGTCTACAACTAACACTTCTGGACATGTTTTACTAGCACAAGCTGTTTAAGCTTACTCAAATCACATGTGAACAGGTACATTGTACGTCCTATGGATTGACTGATTGTAGTTTTACGCCCCTTGAAGTTTATTTCACTCATACATGAGACGTCACCTTATGCCGGAGAGGGCTTTGAATTTAGACCTTACTCGGCACTCAGTGGCTTTGAACAGTAAGGAAACGTTATCGTGCCAGGGCCTCGGTTTTTAAGGTCTTATCCAAAAGACCCGTAACTTTCACTTCAAAGTACCGAGCGCTTGGCGAGAGAACAGTTGCTTCCTATTTTAAAGCTTGCGCGACCGGGGCCTATACCCACGGACTCTCGTTCAGGAGCGAGCGCTCTACCGACTGAGCTACCGTGACGGTCCTATTGTATGGAAGATAATTAAAAATGATAAAAATAAAGCTTTTTGTATTTTGATTATTTTTGCTCGAAGCATTTGCTTAGCAGGAGCAAAAGTAATTTTTAGGAATTTTTTGCATAATGAGATTAAAATATGGGCACAAGCTGGACCAAGTTGGGCCACAAATGGCCAATAAAAATTTGAACAAGAAAATATAACGGTTATTATGCCTCTACTGTTATTACTCTATATAATATAAATGCCATAAAACTATATAACTATTTCCTTGAGAAGGCACTACTTCTTCCATCTGAGGACTACTCCCTGTAGAAACAGAGCTACTCCATGGAACTACTCCCTCATAATTTTTTATTAACGTTTTTAACCAATCAAAATGCTTTGTGGTCGGAGCGTTCAAGGAATCACGATTCTGTGCTTCGCCACCTCGGGAAATAGTTTACTCCCTCGGGGAACCATAAATTTGCATATCCATTCCATAACTGTATATTAATACTTATCTTTTCAGGTTCAAGAAACTTTATTATTATTTATTGATATACTTGCATTTTATGCCGTGGAAATTTAAAATAGCTGAAGTAATTGATCCTGGCATATGATTAACATTAGGGGATAATAAAATAACTTTACGTAATCTTAAAATAGAGCATACAACTCTCTCTCTCTTCATTAGTTTCTCCCATAACAGCAGAACGTATTTACTGTGAAATAACTAATCTGAGAAAGGGGGTATTTTTTGTTTCTGGAAATGGGAGATCATTTTTGTTGTTTTCCTTTAATGAGGAGACCCACGAACCCACGTCCTTCACTAAATGCAACATTTCAAATATATATAAAACTCAACACTCTTTGAACCACGAAATCAAGTCCCCAGTAATTTTTCTTCAAGCCATGACCCATGAAAATAAGTGATTCTAGATCGTCAATTTTAATTTTGACTCCCATGATTATTTTCATTTAAGAATATGTTTAAATCATGAGTTTCACCAAATGTATGGTGAATTTTATATTTCAGGTTGTTTTAGTAATCAAGAAAACCTCACTCGCTTTAACCTTAGCAGAGCCTTAGTACTAGATTGTCAGTATGAGTGTTCCAATTCATCTTTCTTTGCAATATCGGTAGGATGTTAAAAAGTGTATGGCTCTAAAACTTTAAAATACACATTCGTTCTGAGAACAGGTCAAGACCACATTTCTCATAACCGGTATAAAGTTTACGTTTACGTAATAAAAAGCGATACCTTTGTTCAAGGTATCCACTTGCAATACCTTGGAAATCGGTTTAGTTTTAGGTTCGGTTTAGGTTGAGTTTGAAGTGACAGGATACAGAATGAACATACGGCCATATTTGAATGTGTATTTTCGAAAGTTCTTTGAGGCAGTTATAACAATGACAGTACACTTCTAGTTCGTAAATGTATAAAACACAATTTTGAAATATTGCAGATCTTGTGCATAAACTCCAAAATAACCTTTCATATTTTAAAGGACAAAGAATGTTCATGTCTGGAAAATGTCACCAGCAATGGAGACGTGGTGGATGCCAGTTTGTGTAACATTACATGTGATGGTATATATTGTGGAGGGCAAGACACCGTGAATATTTATCATGTCGGTAAGGGTGGAGGTATTTCTATCTCTATTGTTGATCTACAGATTTTTGAAATTATTAGAGATTTTTATTGATTTGGGTACGTAGATTTTCAATTCTCAAATACAATGTAAGGAAAATATTTCTAAGGAACTATTTTACCATGAACATTCGACTAATCTGTTTTGCGGCTAAGTGTAGTGTGAACAAGTTTGAGAATTTCTTCTATATCTTATAAACAAATGTAAAAAAAAATCTCTATATTCAAGAAAGAAAGAGATAGATATTGACCTTAGTTGAAATTTTTTTTTTATTAAATTTCAGTAAACAAAAGCTTTTTCCAAAAGAACGCGGTCCAGAGGAATCCTAATTTTACCTCTTGTTTATCCTACCAGTGTTTAGATCATAGAAATGTTTATAAGGAAGCGGACTGTGATGACGCATCCATTTCTCAAGCAGAATGTAGTAAGTGTAGAGAAACAAATAATATATTTAGTTCAGTTCAACTATTTGATGTTTCTGCATTCCTGAATATCAGCTATAATTAAGATCTATTAGATATTAGTCAAAATGCGTATGTATATCGCCTAGATATATATAATTATAGTTAATAGACTTTCAGATATAAAACATTTTTTTATTTTATTACAGGTAACTATTTTTCGTGCACGTTTGAGCCAGGAGTACCTTGTTTCTTATATCAGGATGACCAGGACGACTTTGATTGGACAATACAGAATGTAAATTTTATTGCATAAATTAAGATACCAAAAGTTTGTATATTTTTACTATAAAATTATGTTACATTTGCTTGGCGTTATATAAAAGTCAAACTCGCACTTTTGTCAGACCAGAAAGACTTTCTTTTTTTCAAAATGTACTTGATTGTAAATAAGTTCGATTTTTTTTTCTTTCACAGCATAAGTATTTTATATGGCTAATCGGTCTGAATTAAATGAATTATTTGACAATCTGAACGATTAATTTTGTTTTTATCAGTTTGGTTTAAACGCGCATAGTTCAAACAACACTTTACAAAACTAAAAGCACCAGTTGCAGATTCAAAAAATAAATTAAAGAAACATTAAATTACCATAATGTTATAACTCGTTCTTCAGGAGACCACAAAGTATGGCCCAGAGAGGTCTTATGAAGGATCTTACTTTGCGTTTGTTGACGATGAACAGTATAGCCAAGGAAAGTCGACAGTACTTGTTTCCAATGTAGGATTTTCAGGTATTGTATGTTTATAATAATTTATGTCACTTTTTAATCCAGTGCCACTCTCAATGTGGGAGAAGTGCTATAGACCTAAGTCAGAAGAAAAGAGAATACTTTTAACAATTAATTATCTTTAAAAAATCTGAATGGACTTGGGCAACAGGCACTTTCTATACAAATAGTCAAGGCATGAGAGAGAGAGAGATGGGCATGCAGTTTAAATGTATAAAGGACAAATTTAAATCAATGTCTACAATAGTAACGTGTATATACTTAAAACGTTTTATTCATCCGATATATTCTTGTACACATTACGTAATTCTGTAATTCATTTTATACGAAAACACCAGACCCCCTTATAAAAGAATCTTTAGCTAAAACGGTATTCTATGTTCTATGTTCATATACATGTATTTCCAAGTTTATTTCAATATAGGATTGACTATATGAATTATTTTGTTCATCGAGAAATGAATCTAAAAAACGAATCGCACACTTTATGAAAGCCGAAGGCTTTCAGAAAAAAGTGTGCGATTCGTTTTTTAGATTCATTTCTCGATGAAAAAAATAAATTTATATAGTCAATGCTTATAATTCAATTAAAATACAATTCATGTATACTTTTGACAATTTTAATCTAAATAACAAGATATCAACACGAAATAAACAGGAAATTAACACGCGGAGTGATCCACAGGGAGGAGTGCTGGCCGTTGTTAATAGCAACGTGTTTGTTCACAAATCATTCACCTGTTTTCGGTAAAACATGAACGTTAAACGCACAATTCTGAAAAACAGAATTTGTAATAAATCCTCCTGAACTTGTGTTTGCCGACACATTTGTACTTTGTTGACTATACATATTTGTAGCTGACATGTTTAGGTCACGGGCTTGTGGCATAACATCAATGCCGCTAGGTCCTGCGCTGTCATCATTCGCCGACGCCAGATTCGATAAAGTTTTACTGATTTGAAGTTTTTGGTTACTTGCACATTCCCTGGCATAGCTACGAATGGAGCCTTCGTTTTTATGTCCGCTCATGAACATTATGTGACGCAGCTCTACCCCTGCATTACTGAGGGCTTGTATGCCAGTGGCTCTCAGGCAATGTGCTGTATACCTTTGTTTACATTTTGCATTTCTTGAAATGTCGTTCATTAATTTTGTAAATTGATATTTTTTCACTGGTGTTTCTGAATACCATATATTTTCGTTTAGGTTGTTAATTGCTTGTTCTGTGCAGTGATTAAACAAAGCACTAGCGTTTGGGTCTGTTTTACTTAGGAGCAATTTTAATGATGCTACTGGGCATTTGTTTTCATTTGTTGCATACATTCTTTTATCTTGACATCCTTCTTCGTTCGACAACCCTCCTTGTATTGTTTTTTGCTTTGTTTCGTGGGAAAGAACAACATATTCGCGGTCGTTTTCATCCCTGAGAAATTCAAAAGAATTTGGTTTAAGTTGTTCGTGAAACTCAAGTCCACGAGTAACATAATGAATTGCGAGATCATACCATACGCGATAACGCAGAATTATGGGGTTATCATGTGAGTGCAAGTATTCACTGATTTTGCTCAAATCCTCTGGGGTGATGATGTCCTTATGTTTAGTTGGTCTTGAAAGTCCGCTCCTGACATTCTGTTTTAGTTTTCCATCCAAAGTATTATTTGCATATTTGAATTCTTTGTCTTTTGCAATGTTTATATCTCTTCCTAAATCATTAAGGTGCCTATTAATTGCTGCACTAATATTTTTAATAGTATTTTTGTGATATTCGTTAAATCCTTCTGTTGGACATTTTGTAATTTTAGGTTGTGCCTCTGCATAAAATTTGCACAGTTTTGTGTTCAGCTCGACAGGATTAATTGTTGAGAAATCAATTTCCTCTCCAAAAGTTTCTGAACTCCATTCTATAAAATAAATGATAAATCGTTGCTAAAAATAGTCAAATAACTATGTGTTTTTTTTTACTTTTCCCACAAAAAAATTAAGAATGTATATCGAACAGTAAATCATACAAATGTTGAAACGTACGTGTACACCCCCCACCTTTTTTTTTTTTAAACCGCTACATCAAAAGCTGGAAAACTGTTGACATTCATTATAATTTTTCAGGGAACTAATTTTGTATGAAATGCAGGCAGTTTACTCTATGTATTTAAAGTCAAGATTGAAAAGATCATTATTATCTAGATTTTATATTAATTTACCTTGTATGATTTTGACACCCCATTTTGTGTTGCGTTTTGTTGAATCCGATTGTCGGCTATCCCATAGCTTTTTTATTTCCTCTTCCGTGGCTGTTTTAAATCTTTTGGATAACATTGTTTGTGGAAAAAGGATCGTTCATCTCTTTTTGAAAAAAAAGCGTCATCAATTCCATCTAAAAAATCTAATTTTTCTAAATTTTCCTCCATGTGTGCAATTTTTTTCTCTCTTAGAGTTATCGTTATTTGATACAGTTTAAGTTTTTTTAATTAATTAAACTATTTTTTTTTTAAAAAAGGCAAATAAAAAGGAAAAAAAAATTAACAAGAATTAATGAAATGTGAAATTGAATTAAATTTCAAAAATTACCTACTAAATAAACTAAAGTTAATAAGTTTTTTAACAGAAAAACTTGATTCTATGCTTATTTTGTAAGCATTTTCAAGCTTGTCACCATTTCAAGTGTACATATAAACAAGAGGCCCAAGGGCCTTAACGGTAACCTGAGTACAATACAACAATTTAGAGGATCCATAAACTGAAAAATGAAGCTTTGTTGCCCAAAAGCAAGAAAAATAGTATGATTAGCATCAACAAAATAATTGGTCTAGTATCTATCTGCCTATCTGACTTTCCAAGTCATTAAATCTATGAAAGTACATTTTCATTATACAATAAATTATCTTGCATAATTCTCTTATTCTATTAAGCTTTCAAATACATTATTTACATTGATTAATTATCAAAGGTGAATGGCAAAGGGGAATAACTTTGCTCAGCAGAATACAAGTTAATAGAGCCCTGGCCAGGACTAGAACTCTTGACTAAATGGTCCAGGTGTTCAAAAATCTGGTAAAAATACCCTTGCATATTAAAACTTTTACTCTGTTTGCCTTGAACATCCCCAGAAGCATAGATGATTTTCAAAGAAATGCATTTTCACCATAAAATTAAATAAATAAAGCCCCATCCTTACCCAGAACATCTGACCCATTGGCCACGAACTCACAATTCTGGAAGAAGCACCCTTTCTCATTATAACTATACACTTGTTTCTTTACTTTATAACCAGTAGTAGAAAAAATATTTTGAAAGAAATTATGCATTTTCACTATATATAATCAATAGAGCTCTTTCCCCCTCACCAGAACCCCTGACCCAAAGGCCATGAGGCATTCTTCCTTATCATAACCATGCACTTCCTTTGTTTGAAAAATACCCAGGCGCACACAAGATTTTGAAAGAATTCATGCCAATTCCCTATCTAATCAATAAAGCCCCGCCCTAACACCAGAACCCCTTACCCAGAGGCCATTAAATTCATAATTTCTGAGGCAGCCATGCTCATCATAACTATGTACTTAGTTTATTTAATATCCAGGAGCAGAGAAGATTTTCAAAGAATTAATGCAATTTTACTATATAATCAATGGAGCCCATCCCTAACACCAGAACCCCTGACCCAAGGGCCATGAAACAATTTCTGAAAAGGCAGTCATGCTCACCATAACTATGTTCTTAGTTAGTTTATTTAATACCCAGGAGCAGAGAAAAAGATTTTCAAAGAATTAATGCAATTCTACTATATAATCAATAGAGCCCTGCCCTAACACCAGAACCCCTGACCCAAGGGCCATGAAATTCAAAATTTTGGAAGAGGCACTCTTGCTCATCATAACTATGTACTAAGTTACTTTATTTAATGCCCAGGAGCAGAGAAGATTTTTAAAGAATTAATGCATTTTAACTATATAATCAATAGAGCCCCACCCTAACACCAGAACCTCTGACCCTGGGGCCATGAAATTCACAATTTTGAAAGAGGCACTCTTATTCTTCATAACTATGTACTTAATACCCAGGAGCAGAGAAAATTATTGCAATTCTACTATATAATCAATAGAGCCCTGCCCTAACACCAGAACCCCTGATCCTGGGGCCATGAAATTCAAAATTTTGAAAGAGGCACTCTAGCTCATCATAACTATATACTAAGTTAGTTTATCTAATACCCAGGAGCAGAGAAGAAGATTTTCAAAGAATTAATGCCTTTTCACTATATAATCAATAGAGCCCCACCCTAACACCAGAATCCCTGACCCTGGGGCCATGAAATTCATAATTTCAGAAGAGGCACTCTTGCTCATCATAAATATGTACTAACTTAGTTCATTTAATATCCAGGAGCAGATAAGAAGATTTTCAAAGAATTAATGCATCTTCACTATATAATCAATAGAGCCCCGCCCTAACACCAGAACCCCTGACCCTGGGGCCATGAAATTCACAATTTTGGAAGAGGCACTCTTGCTCATCATAACTAAGTACTAAATTAGTTCATTTAATAACCAGGAGCAGATAAGAAGATTTTCAAAGAATTAATGCATTTTAACAATATAATCAATAGAGACCCGCCCTAACACCAGAACCCCTGACCCTGGGGCCATGAAATTCACAATTTTGGAAGAGGCACTCTTGCTCATCATAACTATGTACTAAATTAGTTCATTTAATACCCAGGAGCAGATAAGAAGATTTTCAAAGAATTAATGCATTTTAACTAATGTATATAATCAATAAAGCCCTGCCCTAACACCAGAACCCCTGACCCTGGGGCCATGAAATTCACAATTTTGGAAGAGGCACTCTTGCTCATCATAAATATGTACTAAGTTACTTTATTTAATACCCAGGAGCAGAGAAGAAGATTTTCAAAGAATTAATACATTTTCACTATATACTCAATAGAGCCCTGCCCTAACACCAGAACCCCTGACCCAGGGGCCATGAAATTCACAATTTTGAAAGAGGCACTCTTGCTCATCATAACTATATACTTAGTAAATTTATTTAATACCCAGGAGCAGATAAGAAGATTTTCAAAGAATTAATGCATTTTCTCTATATAATCAATAGAGCCCCGCCCTAACACCAGAACCCCTGATCCTGGGGCCATGAATTTCACAATTTTGAAAAAGGCACTCTTGTTCTTCATAACTATGTACTTAGTTACTTTATTTAATACCCAGGAGCAGAGAAGAAGATTTTCAAAGAAATGATGCACTTTCCCTATATGATCTATATAGCCCCACCCTAGCACCAGAACCCCTGACCCTGGGGCCATGAATTTCACAATTTTGGTAGAGGACTCAATGCTTATTACAATGATGCCAACAGTTTGACTGCTTGATGTCCAGGAGTAAAGAAGAAGATTTTTAAAGATTGCATTATTTTTGGTGGTTTTAGCCCCACCCCTCAGGCCCCAGGGGGGCAGGGACCATGGAATTCACAATTTTTGTTCCCCTTCACCCATAGGTGCTATATGCCAAATTTGGTTGAAATTGGTTAAGCGGTTTCAGAGAAGAAGCTAAAAATGTTCAAATGTTAACACACGATGCACACCGCACGACGCACGACGCACGCCGACGGACGAGAACGGATAGCAATAGGTCACCTGAGTGACTCAGGTGACCTAAAAAACTCGATATCAGATGTACTTTGTAAAAATAAAAGGGAGGCAATCCCAACAGAAAAGTAAAAAAAAAAGTAGTTCTGGATTTATTCATCGGAAAATGAAGAGAAAAATAGCTTCCTAAGAATTGTACGTAGTAAAACGTGTGAAAGCAAAGAAAATTGAATTATTGAGTGTCATATGCAGGACATGTAACAAAATAATGTTTATTATTTTCATGGTGGTAACCACACCTAGGACAGTCGAGATGTGTCAGTTGTTAGATAATGATTTTTTTAAAAGAAGATCATTGAGGTTCTATCTTAATGACGAGATGATAGTGAAGTATGTTCTCTTTTCTATTATATACACAGTTAAAATATTTACAGCAGAAAATAGAATGAAACTGTCAAATTGTTTGTGAAAGATATTTTAAAATGAGTGTGGGTTAAACAATTTGGTGAAAAAATTCAACTCAATACATTAAAAAAGGTTGGAGTGGGGGAGGATCCTCCTTATAATTCGCTTTTTATATATGTATATCAGTCAACAATCTATGATAATGCATCATTCAATGGTTTCAACAGGCGTTATATAAATTAAAACCTACACTTACATATATACTAGATAACATTTTTATTTGATTAATACGTAATGGTAGTTGGGTGTAAGGACGAATAATGACCCCCATAGAATGGGTGCGTATCATTACCGCTACATTTTCAAAATTGTCATTACCGCTGCATACTCATTACCGGTACAAAACAGGTTACATTACCGCTACATTTAAAAGTATACATTACCGCTACATTGCCTCTTTCGTAAACAGTGGCTTATACATGTACAAATTGATTTAAAGTGCAACAAGTACATACTTAAGAGCTGTTTCCCCTGCTCACCATGGGAAGGTGAAAGAGGGCTTTGAACAGGAAGTGTTTTGTTTTTAATTTTATAATTAAAATCTATTTTATAATTATATTAAAATATTTCAGAAAATTTTAATCACTAATCCTGCATTGCCGTGATTTTTCACAAGCTTATGACTTTCAACTGACGCTAAATAATAATTACTGTATTTCGATGACAGACTATATGATTATATTGATTAGAAATCAGGTCCAAATTCTACGTCACTACATTGTGGATGAACTATATTGAAGAGAACTCATATTCAGTGCCACTGCTGGTAGATTCAATATGCAGCGGTAATGAATTGTAATCGGCAAAAGTCCTTTTGATAAAATGTAGCGGTAATGATCGCCCGAAATTTCGAAGAAATGTAGCGGTAATGAGTCGAAATTTTTCGCACTGTAGCGGTAATATTGACCTCCCCATAGAATAATGCCCGGGGGTCATTTTTCGCCGTCGAATAATGACCCCCGGTCATTATTCAACGTCGAAAAATGACCCTTTTGCCCGTAGAAAAAGTGTCATCACCATAAAAATCTGCATACCCCACGTGAAGAAAAATGACCCCCGTAGAATAATGACCCCTTGTGGATTAAAACGGATTAAAGTTGAAATTTTAGGGGCAAAATAAAAATAATAAATCAAGAGACCTGTTGGCCAAAATGCTCACTTGAGCTAAATTGGGAATAAATCGATGATATGTTGATCTCATTATATTATACAATTGTTGCTGTTTTAAGGTCAATGCAATGATTCAGAATCTAGAGGAGTTAAAGATTTATCGAGTTCAAAAGGCGAGGAGAGCATTTCTTTTTGATGGTGGAAAATCACTGATCGTCCTGACAGAAAAAAACAGCAATAATTGTTTTATTGTATGATTAAAAGATTAAATTGATTCAAACTGATTAAGCAGACATGTCAAGTTTCCTGTTTACATTTGCTCCAGTCCTAGCCAAACACATTGAAAGAATCGGAGTTAACATAAGCATAACCAGTATTAATTTTGCATTTGAAATCTAGTTTTGGTGCATTGTAGAAAAAAATACATGTCTGGCATAGCATCGAAAGGGGAAATGGCGCATTATAAGAGGCAAAATGACAAATTACCTTAGAAATATCTTTGATGAACCCCTCAAAACGTTTATTGCTGTAAGTGGGATTTCCTTTTAATCTACTGTATCAAAAAGTTGGGAGTAGGACAAGCAGACTTACAATGACCATTTTCAAGCGAAAAAAAAAATATGTGCATGGAAGTGGAAGGGGGAGGGCACCCCACCCTTGATTCTATGTGCCTCAATGTTATGTTCATCTTGTCCACTCAAGTATGAGAGATTTTTTAACTATACTGTATAAGAAAGAGGGGATGGTTACGAGATTTTCGATGAACGTTTTCAAACTAGAAATAGCTTAAAATTACATTCAGAAAAGGGGGAACAATCCCTTCCTCTTCTCAGATTCTTTGTGCCTGAATATTATGTTCACTTGAGTGGAATTCAGATGCAAGTGAAATAACTTTTCAGAATTGTTTTCGATCTATTTTTAGTTCAATGTAGGAAAAATAAATCCTTATATTCACCTAGAAGGTCAATAAAATGGTCTTTCTTTAATCATAAATTGAAAACATCAATCTTCTTCAATAAACACTGCATTGAAATGTTTCCATATTGATTTGACAAATGTGTCATTGTTTTAAAGTGGATTTAAAAAACAAAAAATATTCCTGTAACATGTATGTATCCTATTCTCACACGACCATGTTAACAGACTTGAATGTACATTATACTGGGATTCTTCTTTATTACTTCTATAGATTTGAAAATAAATTCCCATAGAGTAGACCACTGTTTATAAATAAAATTGAATGCACAATATATTTCAGACATGCAGAAATTATAGACGATAAAGATCAACTAACAAATAAATTGTCTGACAAACGGGATGATTTTAGCTTTTTCTATCGTCAACTTTCCTTATTTATGAAGTAATATTCCGCTATCATTTGCATATAATGATTACGTCTACCAACTTATTCGATACCCAAGAGCACGATTAATTTTTAAATCGAGGCAGGCTACTGACAGATACATGTAAGTTGATGTTACAGGGGTTTCAACAACCTCGTTTAAAGTCAGCATTTCGTAAATTCAATGGTCGTTTCAATGTCCCTGTCAACAAAAATAACCTATGATAAGGTCAATTGTTTGACCCTTGTTTTTATACTAAATTCGACAACGGAATGTCCCGTTTACCTGATTTATTCATAGGGCTCACGGCGGGTGTGATGGGTCAGCAGGGGATGCTTACTCTTCCGACCTCTGCAATTTTCGGGGGTCCTTTTTATGCCCTGTTAACAGAATTATATTGTTTGTGAATATTTTAAAATCATCACTGTTCGTCATCTTCACCTTTTTTTCATTAGGATATATATATATATATATATATATATATATATATATATATATATATATATATATATATATATATATATATATATATATATATATATATATATATATATATATCTATATATCTCCACGGTATGTCGTTCGCACGAGATATTACGTCATTTTCGATACTTTCTACCTCATTTGCATGACTTTTTATGTCATTCAAAATATACCTATGTATTACATTGAATAACTTTCCGTATTTATTTCCGAAAACTTATTCCTTTTTCCCTTCATTTTTTTAAGAATGTTGATCCTACTCAAAGCATGCTGATTACTTTGGGAGACATGTTTACCAATGAAAAGTCAGAACATCCCGCTCGTCTGTTATTTAGCTATGAATGTCTATGATCAGTCAAATATCCAAATATGAAACAAATGAAAGACAGGTCATAAAGGGAAATTACGTTAAGAGTTATAATCAGTAGTAGCCATTTTGCAATTTTCAATATGTGCTGAGAACACAATAGGCTTTAAAAGATAGAAATATGCATGTAAATGTAATGCTATTTTATTTGCGCGTTCGACCAGTGTTGGTCAAAGAGGGCATGAAGAAGAATATTAAACATTGAGGTTCAAACCTTGGCATCAATCACCTGTGATAAATTTTGTATCATGCACTCTGTTGGAAAAGGGGTCATTTTTCAACGGGGGTCAATTTTTTATAGGACGCACACATTAAAAAAATGACCTCTAGGGCTCTTTTTCTACAAAAAATCAAATTTTTTTTACGGCGGGGGGGGGCATTTTTTGTCGTTGAAAAATGACCCCCCGGTCATTATCCTACGGGGGTCATTATTCGTCTTTACATGGGTTTTATTTTGAAAGGTGGTCAATGGTGTATTCAGTTGCGATACTACATACAAAGTGAATTGTTAGATGCAAAGCTAGAGGTTTTCAAAACAGGAGAAGAGAAACCGTTTTTCACCTTTAATATAGCTGCCAATAAAGAATGGAAATATGTAAAGAGAAATATTGGCATGACTTATGATGAAAGGGCAAGTATCGTAGTTTGACACTTTATTCTTATAATAATCTATCTCAGTTTCCTTTTCACGTAGAGGTTAAATTCTTGACTATTTTTTGAAAAATCTCTTGTTATTCATACTTAATAATTTCAACCTTTAAATATCAGGTTATCTCTTATTATTCGTATTAAATTATTTCAATCTTTAAATATCAGGTTATCTTTAGTTCACGCGTGGTAAAGAGGCGTCTAATTTCGCTATAGATGACGTCACTGTGATAAAAGGATCATGTGGTGAGATATTTGTTGATCTTTGATTGTAGTTTTAAGATTTAAAAACAAAACACTCATATGGCTGAACAGATATTTGATTTCAGGAAAATGCATATTTATTTTCAGTCCATAATGATCAACATTAACAAATTTCAGATGAGACAGTAACAGCACTGTTTAAAATGAAGGGCGAAATTAATTGCGATTTTGAAGGTAATGCAGATGTTTGTTTTCAACCGAACAATAAAGGCTTTACTTGGAAGATTACTCGGGTATGATATAAAAAATAACTAAAGCCAATTCATTTTGCATATTGTGTAAATCTGTGCACTGGTAATTTATGACACAGCTACATGTAAAAGTATGTAATGAATGAATGAAAATTCATCCACAATTGCTACAATCTAAATAATGGACTTCATATGATAAATTGCTGCAGAAATAGATTAACATTTTTGTGTATCTGAAGGATGGATCGACACCCACAAAAGACACGGGGCCAGATCAAAACATTGAAGGCAATTATTTCTCATACTTCGAAGCAAAAAGATTTAATAATGGCGAAAAGGCAGTTTTAATTTCTTCATTTTATCTAGAAGGTAATTCACACGATCCTTTCTATTTTGCACAGTAACATTCAGACGATTTTGAAAATAAAATATTATATATTTCATTTAGTCTTATCTGCTACTCATTTATTTATTAATTTCTCAGCTAAATTTTCCTTTCATGAAATATTTGAAAAATTAACAGTCTCATTCACAAAAATACGTTGATTCCATATCTTTCCCGATGACCAGAGATTACATTAAAATCTAGTTATGCATGTAAGCACCATTTTTATTCCCTTCTACAATTTTTTCATATATTTTTCAATTTTCAGATTATCCGAAATTAAGAGAAAAATGTAACTGAATACGAAACCAATGTTGTCATAAATCTACCAATGCCACTAAGTTGTCATTTTGTTAGAAAATAATGCATCCTAAAGAGAGTTTATATAAAACCGAGATCAAAATTTAATCTTTCGCCAAAACAAAATGCTTTTATTATATTATATATATAGTTTTATTATATTAAGCATATAGTTTGTTTTACAATTATATGAAAACAATTTCCTTCTTCTGATGATAGATATAAACATCTCCTATAGTATGCAGTATAGCATGTATGGTAAAGATATTGGGCAACTTTATGTATACCTAAAAGATGAATGGAATACCACTACAGAAATTTTTAAAGAGGAAGGAGATAAGACTGAAGGATGGAATTATTTTATAAAAAATATTACGGCCGAGAGAAAAAATAAGGTGAGCTTAGAAAGTCACAATTAATGATCAAATGAAAATGTTTGCTCAAGTACATGATGATATCAACGTTTTCTATTACTATTAGCAATCTTTAAAATGATAGATACATGTATAGAAGTTTAAAATGATGTATAAATGAAACATATTCTACGATTGATGATAATTTTATTGCGGATCAAAGTTTTATAAGATATATATATACCCTGTATCATAGTTTCTCATTTGAATTTCAAGCTTTACATCGAAGGAAGTAAAAAGGGGAAAGGAAACAAAGGAGATATTGCAATTGACGATATTAAAATCCGTATCAATAAACGAAGTAAGACAATTTTTATTCAAAAACTTCTACATGAGAGGAAGAAAACATTTGCTGTGATCTTCAACTCGACATTTAGATGTAATGACGACGTTTTATAAATTATCAATAGTTACTTCCATTCACACATCGACTCGATATATCCAGTGAAATCAAAATAAAAGACACAACAGAGTCTAGCACATAAACGTTTTACTGACTATAGACGATAAGGGCCAACTTACGAAAAAATCGTGTAACAAAAGAGATGACTTCAGCTTTTCCGTCGTCAACTTTCCTTATTTATGTATTAATATTCCGCTGTCACCAGCTCATGATGTTAACGTCTCCCAGCTTAAGGACTCATGACCCTCTGTCCTAAATTTCACAATTTTTTTGAAACTTCCCAACATTGATTTTCATTAAGATCTATAGCATTAGATTCAAATGAAGAAAAGTATGAGGTATGAAGCGCTGCTTATTTTTTCAGAAATTATTTTTATGTCAGTTCATGAAATGAAGAAATTTAAACACAGAGAATAGGAAGAGTAATAATTTATTATCACAACATAAAATTAAAAATGTGCGGTGTATATGAAGAATATATTTAGTGTCATACCTATCAAATTCATATCAGAAAACATAATAAAGCGCTGCTTCCTATGTCGGAATATCACAAATTTATATGTGCTTGTAAGAAAAGAAAACCTTCATTAGCAAGAGTTATCTTTCTTATAAATATTTTTTCAATGGAAAAAAAATTAATACTAGTAAAAATTCTACATGTGGTACTTGATACATTAAAGCTTTTTTTTTTTTTTTAAATGGTCCATTAAAAGATAGAACTTATTCTATTTGTAAGGGTTTGAAAACTTGATTTAAATTTTTTTGTCAAATATAATAAAACAATTTGAAAGGTATAGGCAAAATGAAATAGAAATCAATGTTTCCATCATATGTCAGGTTTGATAGAATTGACTACTCAGATGCCTCAATTACTAAACTCTGGTGAAGTAAACTACAAGTAATATAAGGATTTTTTTTTACTTGGAAAGTTATCTCTCTTATCAGAGGGTCGACCCTCCTTAATCTTTACTCAAAAGCATGCTCTGAGAACGATAAATTTTTAAATCGAGGCAGGCTACTGACAGATAAGTTGATGTTATATGGATTAAACAACCTCGTTTAAAGTTAGCATTTCGTAAATTCTGTGGTCGTTATAATGACCTTGATAACAATTATAATCTATCATTGGGTCGTACTTGGCTGACGTGTTTCATACCAATTGTTAGGTCTTTGTTTTTATGCTAAATTTGACTACGGATTGTTCTGTCTACATGATCAATACATAGGACTCACGGCGGGTGTGACCGGCCAACAGGGGATGCTTACTCCTCCTAGGCACCTGCTCTCACCTATGGAATTACCGGGGGTCCGTGTTTTATGCCCTATTCACAAATTTGTATTTGTAGATTTTTTAGATTGATCACTGTTCGTTACACACCTTTATGGTTTATCACTTTTTTGACACACACAAACATATATACATGTGCTGTATACCTCTTCACTCTTTTAGTTATTCGATTTTTCAGGAGTTTTGAGAGTACAGGAAAATCTCAAATAAAAGGAAAAACATAATTTGCATTGTATATTTTGCACTTCACTGAATAAACATATGAAAGATATACATGTGTGTTTCAATGGCAAAATACAATGACAAAGCCAATGCATTGCCTCCAGTTCCTTCTAGATACTGTTAGAATGAATCTGTATTCCCAAAGCTTAGATTGATTGATTGATTGTATGTTGTTTTATGTCCTGTTCGAGAATTCTTCACTCATATAGAGACGTCACCATTTACCGGTGAAGGGCTTCAAATTTATACCTTTACTCGGCACTTAGGTCCATTGAGCAGTGAGGGTTCTTTATCGTTCCAACGCCTACCGTGACACGGGGCCTCAGTTTTAAAGGTCTCATCCGAAAGACCCGCAACTTTCGCTTCAAAGTGCCGAGCACTTGGCGAAGGAACAGTTGCTACCTATTTTTTATCGACTTAGGTCAGTCACGGTCGAGATTCGAACACACGACTTCCCGATCACGAAGCGAGCGCTCTACCGACTAAGCTACCGTGACGGTCCCAAAGCTTAAAAGACAATTGCTTGTATCAGCGATTAAAATACCTAGTTCTAATCAAAAACAATAGGTGGAAGTCATATATTTGTTCTCTTGCTTTAATTTTCTAGAGGACAAAAAGTCATGGCTGGCCTTTAACGAAAGATGTGCGAGAATTCTTGGTTCATACATTATTAATATCGAACAAATAACAGACTTGCCTTGCATGTCCAATAGCTTAGAGAAGTGGACGGGTATAATAAGGCCACAGCGTAGAGGATCAGCTATTAGAGGTAGGAGGAACCACTGTTCCAAATCCACACACACACACACACACACACACACATCTAGAATTATTACTGGCAGTCATGTTATTGAATAAATTATACATATATTGATTAAACTTAATGTAAATACTGGGGGAAAAGTAATCAGTACTTAATATTGATAAGCAAACAATAAGATTGTGCCTTCATAGATATATTTTTTAAGGAAAAATAACACAAAAAATGTATGGGTTGGTATATTTTTTGACTGATTTTGAATAGAAATTACACAAATAATAAATCCCTAAAAATTATAAGAAATCGTTAGTATTCCATGGTGTTCAAATTTTAGACTGTGCGCCATTTTCTATATAAATCTATACAAATTTTTACATACGTTTTATGACATTATTACAAAATCTTACAAAATTTCTATTTTTACGGTGGTAAACATTATTCAAATTATCTATACGAACATAAATCTATTAGACTTAGACCAACTTTAAATTAATATTTGTTTGCCCTCTCCCGATTCAGGATGAAAAAATTTGGATCGGTACGTAGGTAGGATTTTTTTTTTCTCAGAAAATTTAAACATCAATGCTGAATTATCAAAGTTTATTTTTTGCAATGCATAAAAAATAATTGCTTTCTGAGTGTTTGAAAATGTATTGAGTTGGTCCATTTTTAGCCAGTCGGTCGGGAGAGAGCAACCAATTTTTTTTTTAAAGATTGCCTTATTGCTGATTCCTGAAAAAAAAGGTTTTTGGGGTTATTTCTCATTATAATTTATTCTTTTTAATACGTATTTTTAATGCTTTGTTGTGTAATGCATACCTAGGTAAAAATTTTCTGTTGCAAAATGCTTTCATATTAAATATCTAATTATAGCAATGTAATATTAGATTAGTACACTAGTTTTGAATACAACAAATTAATGTTAGCTTTAATAAATTTGTCTTATTTACAGTAAAAAATGTACTAATATTTGTCATCCTTAGTTAAAATCGTGTAGTCTATCAGAAATTAACTAAATTTTAGAAGCAATGATGTATCATCTAACACCACAAGTTTGAAAAACACATTTTAGATCGTTTTTAATATATTTTTGAATTTATGTTTAAAAAGCATCACGAACAAAATGTTTCAGGGTTTTAAGAATAAGATTTTAAGTTAAATGTGTCAACTAACTTGTCTTAATTTTTAAAGGTTTTCAAGAAACTCCCGCTGCTGTACAGTTGTATAGAAACATCAACAATGTTTCTACGTATGACTGGGAAATGTATGATCCACAGAGAACTAGACCATTTGTTTGCAAAAGAGGTAAGTCTGCTCATAGAATATTAGGCAATCTTTCTCAACAGCATCTGATTATCCAGAAAGATATCCTTATGTGTTTCCTTGAATATGTTTTCGTCCATCCCTGTTTTCTATTCAGATTTTTGTCGTTCTTTCTTTTAAAGAGGTGTTTTTATGTTATGGCTGGATCCAGCAACAGCCGACTACAATTTACAGTGTTGATGATAAATTAAATCGAAAAATGCTCTAGATCCCATCTCCAACAAAGGATAAGTGGGACCCTTCTAAGACTTTAAAAAAAATTAAGTTTACCAACCGAAGCCGCGGTTCACAAAAAAAATGTCTTTTCCTTTTTTCGAGGTTTGGGATTGGATTTTTTTATTACTAGTTATAAACCCCTCAAATGAGAAATATTTGCATTCATTCCTGCATATGTATATATCTCAACATACTGTACATGTTTTACCTTTCCTTCAGCAGTTTTATTGCTCACAGTCAATGTTGCAGTTTATATTTCATGAAGACAAAAAATTTAACAGTCTTCTATATTTCAAGTATTGATAAAAAGCCGTCTATATATTTAAAAGCCATTATCTGAGTGTGTGATTAATTTTATTTCAGGTGATATATATTTTTTCAATAGGTGTCAATTCCTCGGGTGATAATCACAGTTGTGTGGTGATTGCACTTGAACAAACTATCACTAGAATTCATGATATGGAGTCGACTGACACAAATCATAGTAAGAGTAACATAATTATATAAAGAAGTTAAAAGTCCCTTTTTATCTACATTACATCCATTGCACCTGATCCCATCTCTGATGTTTTAGGGGTCCGTGTTTGCACTGCTCCTGATTTGTATTGTTTAATTGACCTTTTCAGCTTAATTACTGTTCGTTATCTCCATATATTTCATCACGTACTGTGGAATCGTGTAATTATTTTTGAGGCACACATTTTTTGGGGTTGCTTTGCTTGATATAAAACCCATCATCTGTAGTCCAACATTCGTTAAGCTTGTAAATTCGTAAGAAAGTTTTACCATCAAAAACTGAACCGCATGAAATACTGTAGAATAATTTCATATAATATAGAATTATACCATCATCACTTGAAGATGAAGTTAATGTCTCCCAGTTGATTCGATACGCAAGACCATGTTCTGCATACGAATAATTTCTAACACGAGGCAAACTATTGACAAATAAGTTGATGATACAAGAATAGCAACAGTCTCGTTTAACATTTTTTTGCAAATTCTATGGTCAATAAAATAACCTTGTTAACAAATACAATCGATCGTTAAGTCAAATGTTGACTGGCGTTAATTTTTCATACAAATTCTTAATCCACTATTTTCACACTGAATTGTCTACGGATATTTCCGTTACGCAATCATGACAAGGAGCTCACGGCGGGTTTGGCCGGTCGAATGGGGATGTTTACTCCTCCATGGCATCAGATCCCACTACTGACGTGTTTAGAGGTCCGATTTTGCTCTGCACCAAATTTGTATTGTTCCAATAAACTTTTGGACTTCTGAACTTTCTAATGGCTTGATAACTGATTGTTATCTTCATATTTCATAATTAAGATTTATCTGGGTTAAATATATAACATCTAATGAAAGATTCCTGTTTTTTTTTATTTTTGTAAAGAGAACATAATTGAACGACAGAAGAATATTTCTTAGATATGAAATTGAAATCAAATTCATTGTTTTAAAATTAGTTAAATCGATACTATAGAATTCTCAATATAGAGAACGGTTAAACGATAATTTATCAAAATGTGACCCTTTTTATTAAAGTCTTCAAATGTTCTGATTTGTCTTTATACTTTTATTAAAATTAGTAGGAGTGATAATTGCCGTCGTTGCCTGTGGGTTGACTTTGATTGTTGGTGGCACCCTTGGGATTGTCTATTATAGACGGTAAAATTTTCAAACCTTTATTTCATCCTGGCTATGCCTTACATTGATATACTGAATACTTTGATTTCTCATTTTTTTTCTCCAATCGTAATGAATTTAATAGATACCCAAGGTATACAGTATAACCTGGGTTGGGGCAGTTTACGCTTTTTTAACCGAGAAGCGGTTATACCAGTATAACTTGGGTAGCTATAAAAATCATTCCTTATAATTTAATTTTCTATCATTTAATGTAGAAAATAAGACAATTTCACCTTCATAAATGCCTTTAAATTGTACATATAAATGAAACGTCAAGCGGATTGATACTTTTTTGACGTAAGTCATTGTGACATAGGCATCACAAGTTACTGTACGTGTACATGAATTAGCGTATTCAAAATTTAGCGCAATCGCTGGGTATGGAGTTGTTGGCGTAATCATGAATTAGCGCTACACATATACGTGCCGTGTATTGTCTTTATAAAATATAAATGATTTCTTAGCGGAATTCATGAATTAGCGCATCGTTGTCCACGCCAAAGCCGCTAAAATATGAAGCCAGCTTTTTTAAGTACACATACAGTATTCGGTATAAACTAATTTTTTATCCAAACAAATGACGCGTTACAACCAAAATTAAATTCTTCGTAATTAAATGTTTTCCTTGTTTTCATCAAAATTATATTTGAAACTTAACAAGCATCACGAAACAAATCTAGCACAAATCTACATGATTTATGTAGGATGCAGAGAAAGAAAAAACAGCAGAACTCACCCACTGTAGTAACTGTGTATGATTACAGTGATGAAACATTAATTTTTGAATCATATTCTTCCAATGAAACAAATGTAAAGAAACTGAAGTCTGGGGAAATACCTCAAGACTCTGGTACAGAAAGCGGAAGAAGAACGCAGGAAAAGCGTAATATTATTGAAACAACGAGATCAGAGACAGAGTATGATCATCTCCATCAGAAGAATGGACCCAGTACATCAGCAGCAGATAACATGTACAGTAGGATGGAAGACAATCAACACGGACCACAAAGTTTGTCGGACGACACTTACGACCATACGTTTGGTATGGAAAGTAAATGTACATCGTCTCAGATAAATCATAGTGTGAATGATTTCTATGATCAGGCTCATGTGTCGGAAAAAATGACGTCAACAACAGACGACTTTTACACTCACGTGACAGGAGATCAAATCGCATCACGGAACATTTTGCTAGATTACACATATGACCGAACAGTGGAGATTGAAAGTACATGTAGATATGGGACATCTCTTGGAGATAACAATATAAATAATATTTACGATCAAGCACAAATACTGACTGAAACTCTGGATTCGCCTAAAAATAATTATCAAGATCCTGAAACTTTCTATGACCAAGCAACGTGACTTAAACTGTAATTAGTCTGAAAATCGATGTTAACTTCTCATTTTCACTGACACTGTAATTTGCAATTTAAGTCATGTAAGATAATTTCAATAAATACCTGTTATACGTCGGAGAACTTTTTGAGAACTATTGGATGTTACTTTAGTGTATCTTTTCAACCATTGTTATTATAATCTTTTATTATGAAATTCACAATAAACATTATAAACATCTTTTACTTGTATTCTCCTTTAACAAAGTAGGAAAGCTCATAAGAGTCCGCAAGATCGTAGGTTTACTCGAAGAACATAATGGGATAGTTCATGTTTGATGTCAAACATTGAGCTCTAGACCGCTTGAATGAAGGATCTGTTTGAAAAGTTTCCAAACTAAAATTCTGCATGGTGCACCTATCTTTCCCTTGAGAGTTTCAACTCAGAGTTACGTTCAGACGAGCTTCAGTTACGAGTTTAATTGCATTGTTGGTCTTTGAGTTTTGGTTAAGTTTATCCATTTGAGTTCTAATTATTTCTTGTGGTAGATCTCTTAGAAAACATATATACTCCAAAGCAAGGAAGTATGAGGTAGTCATGTCAAAGACAGTTAGAATAACACAAATATTAGTTGTATAATTGGTATGTTTGCAATTTTGAAATACAACGAACCATACCTATTCTTTCTTTTACATGCAAAAATATATTCAAGTTATAACTTTGCTCTCATGAGTTTTAGATTTCCTAAAGCCTAAAAATTTGTCCTATTGAGACTTCAGAGATTTTTTCTTCAAATCCAAATAATCATAATTTACTGATTGAAAATCTTTGAAAAACATCCTCCAGAAATCAATATCGTGACAAATTCTGCGTTTAATTAGTGACCTTGAGCTTGACAATGTTTGCCAAAACGACAAATTCTTTCATATCGTCTCAATAACTTCATCTTTTCTCTTTTAAAAAATTTTAAGCACACCAACAATGAGGAGTGCTGTATCTGCATCATAAATCAACGATCATAAAAAAATTCACCAAAGTCTAACAATTCAACAAAACTATGTTTGTCATTATTTTTCTCAAAAATAATTTCAAGAAGCTACACAATAAATGTTCAATTCCAGCCAAATTTAACTTCAAAATCAAGAGCAATTTTTCTCCAGCCCAAGTAACTGCACAACAATTTTCGAAAGTATTTTACAACCATCAATGCAATATTACTTACACATTGATTATAAAGGAAATTTTTCTTTTCACCTAAAGATCATGTATGTCAATATCCATTGACTGACATTGATCCATATTTCATCTATCTGTCACGGAAATCATATACGGGCTTTAACTCTCGAATAATTGGTAGGAATGGATTCAATTATGTTTTGTCAAAGACCTACAGATGTGTCTTGACCTTGATTTAATGTCAAATCCCAGGGTCAAGGTCAACGGACAGTGACGTACTGAAATCACGGATATCTCCTCAGGTCACCAACTTCCTGTCCCTGGATTGTAATACACTTTATTCCTTCTGTTCTACTAACCATTACATTAGATATGATGTACTAATATTTTGATTCAAGGACATTTCTGGTTCATTAAAATTACATTGTTAGACCTTTAAAAATTGGTTCCTATAAAATCTATACTTAAAAAAGTCAGACATTTCCAGTGTTTTACTGAGCAGTCATAAAAAAGGGTGAGATATTGGACCTGTCGATGAGATATTGGACCGCTAACGTCACACTGTGGGCGGGATCAAAATCTTAATTGCATTCGTCGATGTTCGACAGTGACGGAATAGACCGAGTTTATCCGCAGTGCGGATAAAGAAAAATTACATCATGGAAGCCAGCACAAGATTCATGGATAGCAAAAAATAAAAGGTATATAAATAAAACATTTGTATCATTTACTGCGTTCTCGGGCAAAATGCGTTTTGTCGACCCGTCGAACCAAACTGTTTGATTCTTGGATCCGACAAATGAATATTCCCCTCGAACCCAGTCAATAAATGTATAATGATATTTGGCATTGGTTGAAAAATTCTGTGTATTTTACATTTATAATACTAGCAAGACGTTTGTCCTTGACTTAACTTTTATTATCCCCTCGCAACAAAGTTGTAGGGGATGTAGTAACACCCTTGTGTGTGGGGTTGGGGAGGGGGAGGGGGGTGAGTGCGTAACAGAAGTTACGCAAGTAATAATTTATGTCGGGGTCGATGTGCTCTTTTGCGTTAACATATTCTATTCTTTTTTATCTAAGTTTTTAGTTGTAGTTTGGTTTGAAATATTTTTCATTCAAAATATCTAACTGATTAAATAATTCTTGATAACACTGCTCATTACACTTTTGCTGAGTGATTCTTAAGTTAAAATTCTTCACAATTTTTTACAATACCTTAGCTCCCTTTGCTTTTAAAAGTTACTCTATTTGTATGCCTGTATTACTTAAGGTTATTTCTTTAAATATCAGTTCTGGTTTCAATTCAAAATTTAGAAATAAAGATCAAGTTTGAAAATTTTATATTATCTTATTTCTGAAAAGAACTTCTTCGGGGAAAGGGTGGGAAGTTGTACTTAGAAAAAAGCATAATACTCTGTTCGCTAATTTTCTAGAAATATGTTTCATCTTGATATGTATACATGTACGCGTACATGTATATTGCAGGCTGTACCATTCAATTGTTCTCAACATTGCAAGACTTAATTTTTACACGTATCTTTATTTTCTGAAGTCAAGAGCATCAGGCAGGTTAAGGATCAATTTTTCCATGGTGCAAAACTAAGGTTGACAGCTAGCCAGCTATATTTAAATTTTGTGCAAATTGATTTACATCTGAATTTGTTGGAAATCATTACCCTGTGTCATTACCCGCGTTTTAACAACAACAGTTAGCAGAAGAAACAACCATATTACTGATGCAAAATATTGATGTGTTTACTTCCCTATACGGACATGTCCGTGTAACCTTTTTTACTGGTTCTCTATACTAATGGAATCAGTCTATTTGTCTTATAGGAAAGGGGTGACACAATCATTTCGCGCCAAATGTCACCAGAAAATCAGTCTCGCGCCTTTTCCTTGGAATGTTCTATTGAATTGGTGTGATAACTTCCAAGGAATTAAATAAAGTTTGTTCTTTTAACCTGATTCAAGCTTTAAAATTGTTATTTATCTTATTAAAAAATGATAGCATCGAACATGGGTAACACTGAAAGTATTAAAACCATGAATTTGCTAAGTTTTCCGTCTCATTGTATTTCCCGGTTTACCACGTACAATATAAGTGGACTAATTCAATAAGTTTTAACTATCTTAAACAAAACTTAATTCAACAAGTGATGTTGGGAACGAAGATAGAAGTCACATCATTTGCTTTATAAAGATTTAAAACAATTAGAGTGGAAGAGACAAACATTTCTTAATAGAACTGGCCAAATCTACACGATAATTCCGATACTCTCTCGCCTTTTACATGTATTTGTCTACACTTACGATGTCGTGATGCATGTGTTAACACTTTCTGCATGTTCGTCATAACAAAAACCAACTTCTTGTAAATAATTTCTGTTTATATTTCTCTAGATTTAAAGCATTATTTTGATTTAAAGTGACACCGTGACGGAAAAACGCGAAAATCGACAAAAGTAGAATTTATGCATGACACATGCAAATTTTGTTCAGTTCTTGAAAGTATTAGGTCTCAGAAAATTACAGGTTTCAGAACCTAAAAAATCTATTTTAATGGAGAAACATAAAAGTAAAAAAAATCCTTGTAAAACTCAACACAAAAATATTGCTTCACTTCTTCCTCTTTATTATACGCATGCGCGGAAAGTTGAAGAATTTACCATGGTTTCAATTCCATAGATATAAATGTCGGATGACCGAGAATTTTAATATAATCTTCAAAAAAGATGATCAGAACTTATTTCTCACTTCTGCTTGTTCCAATTTAATGTTGTTTACAAGTTTTACGCTAAAAATAAAGGACGCGTGACCTTGACATTGTAGACATTGACGATAAAACCAAAGCGATAGATACAATTTGTTTTTCCGGCACTTACATTTTGCTCCTTTTTTTCTTGCTTTACAGTGCAGTTGAGTTGCCAGACCTTCACTATATTCATATTTTACATAAATCTTTTGTTTTGTGATACAACTTTCATAAAAGAAACTTGATTTTGACTCATTATGTAACTTTAAAGTTTTTCATTCCAAGACAATGAATAAATATTTTGTCTTCAGACAGACAGTATATCTTTAAATAATGTCAACCATGATAATCTTCAGTCAACATTTGGTTAACATTTCAGGTGTTTTGCCATGCATCTAATACACATACATGTATGTCTTCAAAATACTGAAATTAAATTTATTTGTAAAATTTAAAGTACGTACACGCTACAATTCAGACTCCATAAACATATTTATTTCTTTAAATAAATTATTCCAGTTGGTATTATACGTAATTATCAATCTTATTTTCTGCTGTCTTTCGACATTCAGTTTCTGATCTTCTGTGCAGTCGAAATTATTTCATGTAAATTTTACACAGCCACAGATTCCCAGCATAAATTAATTACATTAATTTGTTTTCCTTATTTACTTTATCATTATTTAAAACCATTTAAAAGACTTTCTTTCAAATGTTATCCACATGCATGGACTGTATATTCCATTTGTATTCCTGTTGTTTGAGATACATACAATAGATATGTTAACATATAAATTTTGTTCAAATTCCATTCTTCTGATGAGTTGCAACATGTTAAACATTAAAAAAAAAACCATGATGTTTTGTACAAAACCTTCAAAATGTACGGTAATGAAATATTTCGACCCCCCCCCCCCACAAAATTGGACAAAAACGTTTATTACTTATCATGCTTATACGTTCTATAGATATTGATTGCTTTAGTCAGGCAAGATTTTTGAAAAGCTATTACTTTTAGAGAGATTTAGTTTTTTAGTTGCTTTGTGTTTTGCGCGCGCCTCCAGCTAACGTCATAAGGCCGTGAAACAAGCTGTCTCATTACTTACGATGGTGATGTATGCTTGAGACCTCTTAATTTTATGTCTACGGTTGTCTTCGGACTTGTATTGTCGGACGTTCTAGTGTTTTGATACACAGGATAACTATCAAGATAGGTATGCAATTTTTTCCCCCACAGAAAATGATAAAGCATTATTAAAGGGCATGATTCGTCACATCTGCTTAAAATTATTAATAAATTCATAGTGCATTACTTTTATTTACCATAGTAATTTCATTTTACATTTAATTCTGAATGTATAATTTTATATTTTATACAGTAAAAACCAATCGTCTCGTGATCTGGAGATACTTCTGTAAATATGTCAACGAACGACCCCCCTCCAGGTAAGTCCATTAATTAATTTATCAATCTACTTCATCATTTTATTAGCTGTTTTAGAACAATTTTCAAATTTGAAAAAAAAAATCCGAATCGAGATACCGTATTTTCACCACCAACACCCCCCCCCCCTCCCAAAAAAGTCGATTTTAGTGTGCATATGTCTCTAACCTTTGGTGTATAATGTAACTAGTGGCGTTTTCATTTTATTTCAAGAATTTACGTTTTAAGCTTGTTAAGACATAAAAGAAAACTATCCTAGATCATATATTATGTTGCTTGTTTCCTTCACAGGAACACGAGACTTTATGACCACATCAAACCCAGACCTTTTAATTAATTGTCACTCATTGTGAAATGGTTTTAATGCTAAAGTGAAGAAGGCAATTCGTTGTCAGAATAGAGAGTCAACAAATGCAGTTTCTTTTTTTTTTTTAATCAAGAAATTAATTTCAACAGTTAATTTCAACAGAAAATTTTATTTTATATAATTCATTTGTTTTTGTTTCAAAGTAGAGAGGTATACCAGCCAAATGATCCTTGATAACTTCCTGTTTCTTTCTGTCCGTTATCGCACATTTTATGGACCCGAAAATAGCATTTTACACAAAAATACATTGTATAGTGCACAATGCTTCACAAATGGACGATAAAATGTGAATAATGTACAATACGTCATTAAAACTCTAAACTATATGTAAAAACTGACCAATGTGTCCGGCCATTGTTTTATACCTGACTGGAAACAATTGGACCTTAATTATGACGAACCACACCTGTCATATCTGGGACAGAAGTGATGGAACTAATTGACAAGTAGACGTCACAGGACTGTTATTTCTTAATTCTGACATATTCTCTCTTGTTAGTACCAAATATGTATATAGCCATCTGTCTTTGTCCTTTCAAATCCAATTGATGGAATGGTATTTAATATTTCGTTTATGATTATCATGTGAAGTAATAAATATACATTTTTAAACAACTCAGGTTTTTCTAACAATGATGAATCTAATTTTGCAATGAGAGCTTCTTTTTTGTATTCTTTGCTCAGCATATTCTAGATGTCTCGGTGCCCTATCGTCATTGCATTGTAAGCAACCTGACTGACCACAATTTTGGACCAGAATTGATGTGCAACTTTTGAACAATCATATAATAACCCGATTCATATCAAAACACATGACTGTACATGTATGTGTGTTATAGATAATTAAACCGTCCTCATAATTAGGTAAACCTCTAGCACGATATTCTTTAATTCAAAATAATTTGCAGAAAAAATCCACAGTATTCCTTTTTTTGATGGGGAAGGGAGGGGGCGATATCTAATATGAATGTATAAATTAACTGAATTCTTGTTGTAACACTCCATTTGATTGGCTGCAATAATTAGCGTTATCATAAACAGTGGATATCAGTCATATCAAGATTTGTGAAGTTGCAATGGTTTTTACATGAAAATGATGATATAAAAAAGTAAAATATAAGTGATAGCTATGTAAAACGTGATGAAAAGAATCTCCAATGGTTTGTGGTTGGATATGATTTTTATCCATTGAGTTCTGTCTTTTCTATTTTCGAGCCAAGGGATAGCAAACACACAACTCGTTGGATAGAAAATTAAAATCATATCCAACCACAAACCATTGGAGACCTTTTATATATATATCTTATAACCTGTGTTGCCTACGTCACGAACTTCGAAACCGTTCAACCCGCTTGACGTTGCATTTGAATTTGGTACAATTTGAAGTCAATTTTGAGAAATTGTTTTCTTCTTTACACTACATAATAGAAAATTAAATTAAATTATAAGCCTAGGAATGAATTTAATAGCTACCCAAGTTATAAACTTACATTTAATCTGGGTTGAAACAGTTTACCCATTTTTATAAAACTTTTCGTAGTACACACATTAATTTCTCGAACTTCATTATACCTGTCAACATTTCTTGACTTCGGACTACTGATTTACTGGAGGAGCACTTTCTATATAGGTCACAACACGAACATATCTTAGATAATTGTTTTAGAAGTGATTTATTCGTTCGTGCTGCATGACTATATTCTTTTTAGAAATAAATGCTTAATTTCCCCTTTACTTTTTCCCATGATGCATGCGCATTCTTTTTTTTATTTTATTCTCACCAATTTGCTTTAATTTATTCAATTATTTATTTGTGAAATTTCTTCTTCTTTTTTAACTTTATTCTTTGTGTTCATTACTAACGAGGAAATGGAGCTGTTTTTATGTCAGGGCATGTCGCATACACTTGTTAAGTTTATTTGCCCGTGTTAAATTGTCAAACACGTGCATCCTCGGGACATGCTCGTGTGTGTATTATACATCAATTAATTTAGAGTAATTAAGAAAACTTTCTTTAAAAACAGGGAAATATAAACAGCAAAAGTTTTAATGATAACTGTTTTTTTTTTCTCAGAGACGATGTTTTTTTTTTTTTTTTTTTTTTTTTTTTAATATATAATTTTTTGGTATCCAAGTTAATAGACATGCAAATGTATGTCAACAAGTACAGGAAAAGTTGGGATGTAGCTACATTGTATTAACATGCAGGGGGGTGATCTTGCCGGTGGATTTTCAGAGTTTTCAAATTTTTATAGGAATGTAAGGAAAAGATAACTTTCGGTCCCTCTATAGAAAACACGGACCACCCCACGCCACCCCACCCCCGAAATCATGGAACCCCCGGTAAAATGGTAGGGACTAAGGAGAGTCATTGTAAAATGTCCTACCCTCACCTCACCTCAAACCCCAAAGGTATAGGTTTTTCGGATGTGGAAAATTTATTTACGATTTCTTAAGTGGTATGGACACACACCCCTTCCCCTAAAAAAAACTCATGCTTATACATAAAAAAAAAACTTCATTTAAAAAAAAACTAAGATTCCATCATACTATAAAATAAGTATGAAACTATTAAAAATTGTTTCTACGCCTACATGTATATGCATCTGGAAAATCACTTCAACTCTAAATTTATTTTCATTTAATTTGAAAAGATTAATGATTTTAATGTGTATGACGATCTTTAATGTCTCCATAATGTTTAGATACAAAGCTAGTTTTGTAGTTCTTTGCGTAAGATTTTTCACTCAGCTATCGCTTTAATTAAAATTTAATTAGGGGGCAACAGAATAGAGATAACGTCATGTTTTTAAGTTGAATAGACATCTTTGTTAGAATTTCAGACATTAACATCCTAAGAACAAAAAAAGGACAACATTTATTTACACTTAAATATTATGTACTACTCTTCCAGCAAGATACTTAAGCAAAACATCATTAAGGTTCAGCACCCATCTGTCCATGATTAAGGTTCACCACCCATCTGTCCATGATTACAATAACGTGAATCATTTTCCAAAAAAAATCTAATTTATATTTTTAAGTGTACGCTTTTGAGCATGACTTTCGGGGTAAAAATGAAGTTTTCGTTTTTTGAAGAAAAAGTAGTATTTTTGTCAAGTTATCTCTTTTATCAGAGGGTCAATTTCAAATTAGCATGACAATGATTTATAAATCCTCTATTTTGATATTCAGTTAACTCATTTAACACGTAAAACTGCGAATTTCATACATACACGTAATGCATATAACATAAGACAGAGAAAAGTTCTCACGTATGTAATAAATATGTATATTGCTAAAAGTCAGTTATAAGCCCGATTGATGGGTGTTAAATATACATGTACTATGCTTGTTTTTATAATGAATGTAAAATTTACGCTCATACACCTGTCACTATATCAGAAACTTACTTATATACAGAGGGTCGATGACTCTTAATTCAAGTATGCACGGATGTCAAAACTGTACTTAGATTCTTACATTTAATCTTGTGGATTTTGTACTGTACTTTTAAAATACGAATAATTATGTTTCAGCTTTATTCTAACTTCTTTTTTAGAATACACAGAAATAATTGACAGTTTTTCGGAAGTAGAATTACATGATATTAAAACCGAGGATATGGAAGAACATGTCACACAAGATCCCGCTACAGAGAAACAGACAGACAACAACCACACAGAAAATGGACAGGCAGCGGAAAATGCTTCAGTCCCAAAATCGAAAACTTCAAAAAGGGCTGCCCTTAGACAGATGGTTCGACCATGTCTACGGGAGGCAAACCCTCTCCCAGAAAACCCAACAATTGTAGATAAAATCAAAGACATGTTCTTACTTCCCCCACAGGGAATGGTGGGATTCATTTTACAAATCACTATAATCTGTCTACAAATTTGGGGGATTCTGGCCGCCATCACCGGAAGTGAGGCGCTACCTGGGGGAAATTTCTTCTCTCTTATTGTCTTGTTTGTTCTTTGCGTTATATGTGGACGTCTGATTTCATTCGCCAATCTGCCCCCACTATTAGGTAAGATCACAAATTAATTAATTTCTCAAGTCCAAAAACATTTTTCACTAGTGTGTATAGACAAAGAGGGTTATTAAGGTACAATACATTCTACTAAGCTGAGTACATTTAATTTGTTGGTAGGTATGCTGATAGCAGGAGTCTTCCTACGTAACGTACCTGGAATCAAGATTATTGGAGAAAGCATTGACCCAAAATGGTCTGGACAACTAAGGTAACAGTTTTGCTTCAGATTGCTATTGTGAAATTAAAAGAATTCATTTGATCAGTTTCATAAAAACGATTGTACTATGTGATAATGAATACATTTGTAAGCGGATACATTGTTCTGATTCAGAAAGCTAGCTCTGACTGTAATATTACTCCGCGCTGGCCTCGGTTTGGATATTGTCAAACTCCGGAAGTTGTCCTTTGCCGTCCTTCGTCTCGCCTTCATTCCCTGCCTGAGTGAGGCTATAACAGGGGGAATCGTCTCTCATTTCCTGCTCGGATTCCCTTGGGCATGGAGCTTAATGCTGGGGTAAAAAACTTATTGATTGAATTATATTTTTGAAACATTTAAGTAAAAAATGCTTTAATCATAACTAAATGAAATTTATGGTTCCTGTGTGACTTTTGATCAATCAAAAATCACTATTGTAATGGAATATACTTTGGCATCATTTTAAGATGTATCCTAGCAGCTTTGTCTCCTGCTGTTACGGTTCCCTCCCTCGTAAGTCTCCAGGAGCGTCGCTATGGTATTGCTAAGGGTATTCCAACAATGTGCCTGGCCGCTGGAGGATTGGACAATGTTCTCTGTGTGACGGGTTTTGCGGTGTTTGTTGGAATCATATTTTCAGAAGGTAGGTTTTGCTATACGATTTGATCTGCTGGTCTTATCCAGTGAGAAGGAGAGCAAGTGTCTTTTTATATCTTCATATTTTTTACAGGTGACCTGGCTGTGACAATTGTTAAGGGGCCATTAGGTGTTTTACTGGGAATAGGCTATGGCTTTGTAGCTGGAATAATGCTATGGTTTCTTCCAGGAGAAGATTCTGTGAGTAAATATTATTCACTGAGCTGTTTTTCATGTAAAATTATAAATCTTAAATATAAACATCAAACCTTATAAACTTTGAGGGACTGTGAACTTTCTGTTTGTTTAAGGGGAAGAAGGACCTTGAGCTGAAAAAATACCTGTCATTCAATTTTTTTCATATTTTGTATATTTCTTATTAAGTATGTCCCACGTATCTTAAAGCAGTTATATCATTAGGTTTCTTACCTTATTTTAGAGATATTGATTGACAAATACTATGCCCTACAGTATCTATGTAGAGTTTTAGTTTCCATGTTTCCGGGCCCATTACTCTGTCCATAATGGGATTTTTTAAGCAAAGATAAAAATATGTAAGTGGACATGTATCTTTTAAAATATTTCATAGTATGAATAGGGTTTAAAATTCGAAAAAGCAAGTTTCTTCTATCACACTGCATCTGGATAGCGAAAATTACATACTTTTTAAGACAACTTTAACAACAAAAAACGTAATTTACCAAAAATTCTATCATTCAATATTTTTAAATTTACGTTGAAATGTAAGTCCTTCAAATTATTGATTAACTGTAAAAATTTCGAATGGTGAAGCTGACCTCAATATTGCACAGGACATCGTTAAAGAGGACATAAGCATGACAAAAACATGTCATGTTTACATTTCTCGAGTACGGGAAAAACCAACTATGACGTCACATGTAAGCTAAATAAGCGAAAGAAGATATACCTACATAAGATTTCCGTCATCAGCCATGCAAAAATAATTTTTGTATTCCCTGTGTCTCAGAATATTTTATTATATACTGATTAAGACCTGTTTCAACAAAGTAACACCGCCCCTGTAATTCACTGAGTATGATCTTGCTGTACTAACAGATCGTGTATGACGTCACCGACTTGCTGGACGCGCAGTTTAGGGAAACAGAGGAGTGGATCAATCTTTTTCATAATTTGTTAATGTTTACAAGAATTTTAAAACTTTTTATTTTTTCATATAAGATGGTTATTAAAGTTAAAAAAAATGTCAAGAACTGATGCTTTACACGCTTTGCTCTTATATAAACGGAGACTATGACGTAGTTAAACAGTCATGTGACCATGTGTCCTTCTCCTCCTTAAGTGACGACTGTCTTTTTCCTTTCTCCAGACAAATTCATTATTTTATCGGGGGATGCTGTTGTTCGGTTCCGGAATGATTGCTATATTTGGAAGTTCCGCTGTCGGTCTATCCGGAGCCGGACCTTTGGGATGTTTAACTACGGCCACAGTAGCGGCCTACAGATGGCGCCAGGAGAGACAGCCAGGAGAACCCGTATGTTTTAATATTTATTAACTTTTCCCCAGAAGACAATTAACTTAAGTTTGGCATTTTTATAAATAATTTTTACTATTGAATGCATTAAAGGATGAATTAGGAGGGATTATTGCGCTTGCGTGGTTGATTGTACAACACTTCCTGTTTGGGCTTATTGGTGCAGCTGTTGATATTGGCAACATACAACCTAATACTGCAGGTATATCACACATAATGTCATTGGTGTGTTTAAGTTAAGGTCTTATTTTATAAATTTTAAATATTAAAAAAAACTGAAAAATGACGTTAAATACTTTTTTTTATTCCTTGTGCCATCTTTTTAAGCCGCAATTTTAATTTTAAAGAAATATTTTTTAACAATTATCTTTCTGCTGCATTGAAACATACATATGTTTTGTTTATTTTATTATTTATCATATTAAGATGTTAGAATATTTCTTCGAATTTTTAGGCCTGGGCATAGCTACTTTGTTCATTGGTTTGTGTGTTCGTAGTGCCGTGTCTTTCAGCGTAACCTTAGGAACGGGTTTTAATATCAAAGAAAGGATTTTCATTACCTTAACATGGCTCTCCAAGGCCACCGTTCAGGTACCCTTTTGATTCATTTTATCTTTATTCAAGCCTTTATTACTGTTTGTTAATATTTCACTAATGGATATTTAAATCTTAACTATATTTGATAAGAATTTGGAGATATACCTCTGTATTTTATGCTTTATTGATCAGCTTTAATAATTTAATAATAGAATCAGATTCAGACTAATGTGTATGTAAATAGGAATTTTACACTGGACTCTGAAAATGCAAATGTTCCAATGAACCACCATTTCTTATTGACCTTTTTTTAGGCTGCCATTGGTGGTTTAGCCCTGGACAAAGCTTTAGAGGGAGACAATGAAGAAGACATCCGGATGGGTACAGATGTCCTCACCATCGCCGTTCTTGCTATTGTGATATGTGCCCCCGTGGGAGCCACTTGTATGGGTGTGTTGGGACCCAGGTTTTTAGAGCATGGAGACGAAGAAGAAATAAGGGTGGAATGTAGTGGAAGTGCTGCGACATCATCGAATGGCAAATGTCAGAAAGAAATCGAAATAAAAACTGTGTCAGAAACTAAAACACAATGAATCCAAAGACATTGTATGTAAAACTCAGTTGTGCTTATTTTTACATTTAACCCAGTTCATAAATGTTTCATGTGCTTTCCATATATATATATATATATATATATATATATATATATATATATATATATATATATATATATATATATATATATATATATATATAACACCTATGTCATTTATTTTTACATCAGATATAATTTTGCTATTGTTGAAGAGCTCAGTGCATTTTTTATAATTATTTCATGTTGTAAATAAACAAAGTTTACTTTGAAAATCACTTTATTTCAACTGCAATCGATGTGATATATTTATGATTCTGCGAGATAAAGTGATTATGAAAGATACAATACCAGTAATTATTGAAAGAATGTTTAAATGTATCCCGATGAATCCCTTGATCAATGAGGGCAGGAAATAATAGGCAGCTATTCACAAATCTCAAGTTTTTGGAAACATTACTTTGACCCTGGTGTGACAGAAATGAAGTTCAATAGAGATATAATTTACTCTTTCTCTAAACACTTACAGCGACAAAGTGCATTTTTGTCATCTGCATAAAAAAAAAAAAAAAAAAAAAAAAAAAAAAAAAAAAAAAAACACACACACACACACAAGAATCCGACAGCGACGTCAACCCGGGTTTATCATAATATCAACTTGCAAACGAACTATGGTACAATTTTTAAATCAATTATGTCGGGGGAAATATAGAGAAAAATGCATGAAAACTGCAAATTCTCAATTAGGAAAAGAATTTCTTTTCCCTCATTTGTTCAAAATCTAAGCATTTTTCAATTAAGTAACATGTTGTAAAACTTCAAACGTGCATAATAAAACTTGTATATAAAAAATCCAGGTTTTATCTGCCTTTTCCTGGTCAAGTTGTCCAGTCGTTCTAAATTGAGTCTAGGCTCTAACATAAGACGAAAGAATTAGGTTTTATATACGCAAATAAATTTTCCTCTGCCGAACCTTGGCCGAGACACAGTTGTTGGTTGAAACTTTACACTAGGTTCAGACTCCACTTTGACATTCAATCTTAATACAAATGAATAAATAAAGTCAATATCCATATTCAATACACAAGATTTCCTGGCTATATCAGGATTCGGATTCTTGAATGGTATGCATCTTAGATCGGTTTGGTTTATGTATGTGAGGTTCGCGGCGATGTTTAGGTGGCCCGTGATTACCACGCAGTTTCCTTCTGTCGTGTCCATGTTTCCTGTTCGTTTGTTCTGTTTCTTTGTTTTTATTTTTCATGTATTTTCTTATTCTAACAGCGACTAAAATAAGAAAAGCCAGTCCAATTATGACTCCAAGTACTATGACTACTATAAGTAGATCACGTGACAGTTCTTTGTGCTCCGCTAGGGTGCGCGTATCTCGTTTGTGACGAGATTTGTCCTCCAAAAAAAGTGTTTCTTGTACTATGGTCTGCAAAATCTTCATGGTTGGGTGATCTGAAAATTGTTAAATTGCACATTAGTTTTGTTGATTTTTATGCCCCTCATTCCGTCATTCTGTTCTTTCGTCATATACTAGCACAGTTTTAAGAATTTCTTATGCCGTTCTTGTAGATGATGAGCTGATTTTTGGTAATTCACTTTATATTGATGATTTACGGATCAAGTTTGAGTTTCATGTCAATTGACCCTTTCTTATGAAAGCTATTGTCCTTAGACTTTGAAAATTTCTATATATTTCCGTTTCCGGTATTTTTCCTGCCATGCTTTGTGATTGGCAAGTCTCTTTATTCTGAAGACTTACAAATAAAATTTTGGATTCATGCCGATCGACCCATTTTCATAAATGATATTAGTGTTGACATTGAAAATTCTAACAATTTACGGTTTTTCCACTTCTAGATCTGTGCTTGAAGGGTTTTGGGTGAATCTTATTGCATGTATACATTTATTTTGCTGACTTACAAAATTAAGTTCGAGTTTCATGTTGATGAACCCATACTTACGAGAGTTCTGACCCCTAAACGTTGAAAAATTATAATCATCTAAACATTTTAATAAATTGTGGTATCAAAATCTAGTTTTGAAAAATAAAACCAGCAACATGATATTCTAATTTTATTTCATTTACGCCCTCTGTTATTTTCACTTCCGTATGTTTTCAAATAACTAATACTCGAATGTCGGCGGGGGCATTCCTGTGACACAGATACATCTAATTTATTACTAATATCATCTTTCTATGCCTTTTGAGTTTTATTTACCTTTTGAAAAAATGAAATTACGAAAAAAAAAATCTATTTGGTGGATGTGGAAAAGGGGGGATTACTATGTTGTTTTTCCTTTCCGTGCAATCATTTCATTTCATGCGATTTACGATTTCAGAAATAAAAACATGCATGTATATCATATTAAAAAAAAGCAAAAAGATATAGTATCAAACATAGAAAAACCATAAGTCCCAGCTTCAAATGATTATAAAATGATTACTGGATATTTTTTTAAATCTAATAATCCAAAACTAAAATGCGATTCAAAATGATTAAATCAAAATATTTTAATATGTGTGAATAGTGAAGGTAACTTTCTTACCCCATTGGATTAATTAATGAAAAAAATAATTTAGTTTTATTTCTTTAGTTTCTTTTCTATAAAATTTTGCTTGAACTCGTCAATGACAAATTTTCTTATTCGTTATAACCAATATCTTAATATAGCATTTATATATATATATTTACTGTCACTGTAATATTCAAGTAATTTTATCAAACGTTTGGCAAAGAAACCAAATTATTTGTTTTTCTATATTATTGAGAATACATTTTTTTCATCATTTGAAAAATTCTTCAAAAATCTTAAAAAGCATGTGAAACACATATATGATAATTAGTAACTGATGTGAATACATGTATTATTTTTCCTTAAAGAAAATATATATCCGCGAGATATTCGACCAAATCAACCTCCTCTTTAATTATAGTATTAAGCAGTCTTAATGTTATTAAGCTTTTCCTCGGTTTTAGTCATCGTGCAGACTTTTTTTTTTTTTTACTAATTTGGTAAATTAATTTGTCTATTTTAGTCTAAAATTTAATTAACTCACCATGTCAGTGCTTATTCGATCATAAAACCACCATACTCCAATTCCTTCGCGTAATTCTGAACTCCACAGAAAGGTGGGTGTTCCTTGTTTTGTAATTTCTGGAGCACCTTGTCAACAGTAATGCATTCTTTAGTAGTCAGTTTATCCAAAGTGTTCGTCCATGTACATTATTGATCAATTGATTTATTGATTGGCATTGAGAGAGTGGGGGACCAGATTTTAATTTGTCATGGGATTATCTGAGAAATGGTCTTCCTTAGTTTCCTACTTGTGTCAGGGGCAACAATCCGAGAATCCAGGTGTTCATGACCAGTTTAACCAGGTAAAATATTATCTTACGTTGCTAAATATAGACGTTTGATTGAAATACCTCCTCTAACTTGATATTAATTTATAAGATGCAAACACAGGAATGTTTACATAATGTAACGTCTGTAGATGGGTGGTATTTAAAGATTTATTATCAGATTAAAACGATATAATATACTGCGAGCAAATGAATTTTATTAAAAAAAGTTTATCATACGATATTTTTTATCGTACATTTTTAACATATTGTAAATATACAATATGTGTTAGAAGCATGATCTATGAAACATGTATAATTAATTAAAAATCGTGGGTCCCTTGTTTCTATAGTGTGATAGGGTCATATATATATATATATATATAGAGAGAGAGAGAGAGAGAGAGAGAGAGAGAGAGAGAGAGAGAGAGAGAGAGAGAAACCTTTCTTTTTTAGTTTTTCCTCAAATTATTTTTAACAAGTGATAAATATAATTCATAGTATTATACAAAGTAATATATTGTATAATAATGAATTTTTAAAAATATGTAATTAATATAATGTAATATTTAGGTTTGAAAAATGAGCTTGGGTGTACTAATTTAAAAAAAAAAGCTACTAGTAGTCAACCCAGCAGAACTACTGTCTGCATGGTTAGTCTACTTTTTAAATTTTTTTTTTATTTTTTTTTAATGAAAAGAATTTTCTTTTGACCACGTACAGAAAAACTTGCGCGTTGTTCTCCACGGTAATAGACGTGTTTTACTTGGTTCCAGTTGTTTGTGTACAGAATTCATGTGTCTTACATTTTAACCTCTGATTTATCTTATTAATACGTGTATCAGATGTTGGTAATCTCTAGATAGATTTTTTTTGCTCCACAAATGTAAAACTAAATCCTTGGTTCACCAATTGGGATTTAACTTGTTGACATTTGGAAATCTGAGTTGCATCCATAAAAAGGCATTTCAACTCTTTAAACCTTCAAAGAAAAAATGCGACTAGAGAAAGAATCAATGTTGAAGTTTGTTATATTTTCAGGCTAATGGTTAATATGAGGTAAATCACAAGACTTATTTATTGAAAAGAATACAAAATCAATGTTTATTTTTATTTACACTTTTAACCTCTCTATATCTGCACGTCATTAATAATTTGTGTTCATTCTCACAATGTCAAGGTTTTGTGATTTCGGAACTTTTGTGTGGAGTTCCGAAATCACAAAACCTTGACATTGTGATGAAAAACGTGCAGCTGTACAATTTACATGTACCTAGAAAAATCACCGATTGTCATTGCAGGGAACCTCAGACAGCGTAAATTAGCAGTGTTCATATAGTGAGAGAGACGTACAACACACTGGGGGAGATAACTCTTGCGATTTCAATAAAACGTTTAACATAACGTTAAATTTGACGTTAATTACGAAGCGTCAAAATGACGAACGATACGATCCCGATGTAATTAATGTAAAAAAAAAATAGAATAGAGGTTTTTCTTGTGGTTTCTTTAGGAATACCAAATCCTATCCTTGATCATTTGCGCAATTGCAATAAATCCCCCCCCCTCCATAAAAAAGATAGGTTCCTTAAACTTCTTTAATTTAAATTTAGTTAATTAATTCTTAATATTGTGTATGATATACACAAAGACATTCTTTTAAATCTAAAAATGTTAATGCTACTGTACATTGCTTTTTCCCGTTACA